AAGATTAAAAACCTAACAATAATTTTCTATAAAGTCAATTTTACCAGTCTCACAAACTGAACAAAAAATTATTTCTCTAATTACATGAAATGCCATATTCATAATTAATAAAATCTGTACAAATAATGTGTTCAGATTTATTTCTGGACTTTATATTCTCTGCCACTACTTAGTCTATTTTTGAAACAGTACCATAGATTTAATTATTGTCTTAATTAATAAATGTCTAATGGTATTTTTCTTTTACTTCAGCAATTTCTTAGCTATTTTAAAGTGTTATTCTAATAAACTTTAGAATCAATTTTTGAAGTTGAAAGATAAACCAATGATTTTTAGCATATTCACAGAGTTGTGCTGTCATTGTTATCACTATCTACTTTCAAACATTTTTATCACCCCATGAGAAAACCCCATTCTCATGACTCCCCCATTCCCTCTTCCCAAGACTCCAGCACCCACGATTCTGCTTAGCATATTCCTAACATACTTTTTGTCTGACTGCTTTCAACCAGTATGCATTCAAGCTTGTCCATGTTACAGCATGTACCAACATGTCATTCCTTTTTCATACCCAATATTCCATTTTATGGATAAACTACATTCTGTTTCATCCATTTTTCAGACGATGATATCTGGGCTGTGGTCCTATTTTCATTATGAGTAACATGGCTGAAACATTCTTATACAAGTTTTAGTATAAGCACGTTTCAATTCTCTTGGGTCTATGCCTAGGAGTGGAACTGCAGGATCAAACATATCAGTAATTCTATACTAGATTACTTGAGGAAATCCCAAACCATTTCCCACAGTGACTGTGTCATTTTACACTCCTGCCAGCCATATATATATAAGGATTTGTATTTTTCCCGTCTCATCAACTCTTCCTATTGACTGTCTTTTTCATTTTAGCCGTCCTAGGTGGTACGAAGTGGTATCTCATTCACTGTGGGTTTGGTCTGCGTTACCCTAATGGCTAATGATGCTGAATATCTTTCCATGTCCTTATTGGCCATTTGTATATCTTTTTTGGAGAAATGAACCTGAGTGCTCTTTCAGGTGACACCATATTGACTAGTAATTAGCTAATAATAGTAAGCTCTGTTCAACTCAGAGTTTTTCCTCCTACCCTACCCTCTAGAATATTTTAAACTTTACTTAAATACATGTTAATTTAAATATACAATATCAAAAGGAACATAAAATTAAAAATTAGTCTCATAATTCTACTCTATAGCACTATTTACCATTCTTTATTCTCTAACCTTTTTTCCCTGACTAGAAAACGAGAACATGATTATTAAGAAAAAAAAAGAACCCATAATGACACTGCATATCCATACATATAACTACCCACTGAGTTCTCAGTATGTGCCAGGCACTATTCCAAACACTTTAAAGAGCTGGCTGTCTCATTCAAGGCTAAATAAATATACCAAAAATTATTATGACATATGCCTCATACTTAGTTTTATATCCTTAACCTATTACAAATGTTTTTCTTTAATCTTTTAAAACATATGTTTTAGTAGCAACAAAATATTCTAATGTGTGATGGATTGTAATATAACCCCTCTCTATTGAAGGGTCAGATTCTTTCCAGTCTGTCGTTATAAATGCTACTTCTATACATCAAACTTTCATAGGTGACAGCCAGTGTTTATTACGCACTTAGTAAGAGCACTGTGGTAGCCACTTTATACGGAGCCTCCCATTCAATCTGTATTACTTGATAAGAATTATCATCATGGCAGTTTTACAGACCAGGAAATTGAAAGTTAGGGAGGCTTGGTAACTTCTTCCAGGCTACACAGGAAATTAGTGGTATGACCAGCAAGGGGAGCCTGTTATCATTACACCATGGTACAATACATCTCCCACTGTTTCTTTAGGATGAATTCTTAGAAGCAGAACCATTAAAGACAAGACTCTCTCTCTCTCTCTCTCTTTTTTTTTTTTAAATCACCATAGGGTACATCCACTGGCCAGAGAGAGATGGAGAAACAGTAAGAGAGAAGACACCCCGCAATGGGGCGTGGTCAAACTGGTCTCCTCCTTCATTTCTCCATCCTGTTAGGGTTTTAAGCATGCATGCACACACACCTGATCTGTTTTTCAAGCTGCTGGGGCTGAGATGTAAACCTCAGTTGATCACGTGGGATCCAGCGCCCTTAACCACTAGGCTATAGGACCGGCCCTACTTCCTCATCACCTTTTTTAAAGAGAAGGTTTTGCTACATTGCCCAGGCCAGCTTTGAGCTCACGATCCTCCTGCCTTAGCCTCCAGGTCACTGGGATTACAGGCCCACAACACCACACCTGGCCTTTAGGTTGGAATGGGAATCAAACCTGGGCTCTCATGTGGTTCCACCTTGCAGAGCACAGCACCTTATAAATTCGTGCCACTAAGTCAACACCCTCTTCTTCTTCTTCTTTTTTTTTTTTTTTAACAGTTTGATAAATGCTGCCCTGCTGCCTTTCAGTAAGATTATGACAATTTAAACAATGCACATGTTTATACCTTACCATTACTGCATACTGGTACTTTAAAAAAATTATTTTTGATTTTCTAAATTAAAAAAATGCCAGTTAATTTCATATATACCTTTAAGCTGGTCTAGGCTACTGGTACTTTCATGATTACTTCCATCAGACAAAAGAATAGTAGAGCACCTTATCCTAGCTGGGCCCAGTGGCTTATAAGAATAGTAAGAGGATTTTTGGGACCAGTAGTTAGTGTAATGGCTAAGTCACTGGACTCCCACGTAGTCTACCGTGGTTCGCGTCTTGGACCTGGTGGCTTAAAACTCACGCCAGGCGTGTGTGTGTCCGTGCCCAAGGTCCCGAGAGGAGAATGGAGGAGAAGGGATTGCAGCGTGGCCACCCCCCCGGGGAGTGATTTCTTGTTTTCTGTCTCTCTGTCTGGCGAGCGCACACACCCTATGGCAAAAAACTTCTCCAAAAAAAAAAGAAAAAACAAACAAACAGAAAACAAACAAAAAAGAATAGTAAGAGGATTTTGCAAATTCACACACTCTTCATTAATAACAGAAGTAAGAAAAGCTGTAGAGGTGGTGCTTATGGAAAAACAGTGAGTGTCCACTGAGACAGATAAAGACGACTCACACAGTGTAAGCCCAGGCAGCTGAGCCAACACACCACTAATGAGGTGTCATCTTTAACATCAGTTGGCATTGTATAACCAAGAATTTCACCCTGGCCCCTAGTTCCTGGTTCTATGGAATGCCACTGCAAAGGTCCATATCATGGCAGGAATGTTTCCAAAGACCTCTTAGTCCACCTGGACTCTGCCTTCCTTTCTATTCCCATCTACCCCCACAATACCAGGCCGTGCAGATAAGATGACCAGCTCTAAAACACTCCCCCAGGTAACCTGCACATAGTCGTCCACACTCAGACTGCATCGATCCTCCCCCTGCCACTTATTTCCAACAAGCCTAGCCTGGATGAAGAGCCATTTCTCCATGTTCACATTGAACCCTGAGCTTTCCTCAGTTCCCACAAGTATCACACTGCTTTGTAGTTGCTAGTTTGCTTCCTCAACTACATTTTCAATTTGCAGAGAGCAAGATCTTTGTCTTTACTGCCAATATATAAGACAGTGGCTGGGAATGACAGGACTTCACTACTTTTTCATGAATAACTTCAATCAAGCAAACTGGATGCCAATTCCACTAAAACTTTCTATCTATCGGGAAGCGGAGAAAGGTACTAAAATTCAGCAAGCATCTATTAACGTGTAACAACTCAAGTTACTGTCACAGTAACCTACTGAGGCAGACAGTAAGTTTTATAAATGAAAACATCAAAGCCTTACTTTCCACACAGAGCTGATAGGGGCAGAATCTGAACCCAGGCCTATGTGATTCTAAACCTTTGCTTTTTTTCTCCATTAAGCAGCCTCTTCTCCTAAAACTCAAAGCCATATGAGCTAGGAGGGAAAGGCTACTTATTCTTATAGAATTGGTTGCTTAAAAACTCCTGGAAGTTATAACCTGGAGTTGTCCTGGAGAATTTTCTGGCTAGGAATCAAAGAGCAAAGATGAAACCTGCAAAGGGGGATGTAGGAAGAGGGGAGTGGTAGATTAAAATGACAAATGTTTCCTAATCCACTAATCCAAATATGCCACTTGGGGTACTCTGACCTTCAACCTGAACTTTTCTAACTGTCCCAAAGCCTGGGAATCAAACATTTTTACAGGAGTACCATCGATTGTTATGGCAGTGACACCACACAGAGAGAAGGGAAAAAATGAGACGGTGACATATATGGGGGCGCACAAGGGATGCCTGGCTCTCATTCTGATGAATAGTGAGTGGAGTAATCGCTGCTAATCTAAGCCATCAAAATTCTCTGCAAATCTTCAACTCACTTCTAAACTGAAAGGATTAGGCTACGAGCATTTCCAACCTGGTTCTGCATCCAAATAACCCCCTGAGCTTGCAGGAACTACTGCTCTCAAGATCCCACCCTCATTCTGATTTAGTAGGCTTCGGATGGGATTTAGGAATCCCAGGTAATACAGAGGCTTGGCCAAGTTTCAAACACCTGGGTGATTTTCTGTCTCTGCCTCCCACCCCTATCCCTCTTCCAGGAGAGAAAACTGTGAAAGACATCTGATTCAGCACACTATGTCACAGACTCAGAGATACCAGAAATAACTCCAGTTCTATAAGGCTTGATCATTTCTGCCTGTTTTAGGATAGTGAGTTATGCTCAGTCTTCCCTGACTGGTTAAACCGGCCTTTGTTCTACAACTGTATGAGTCTTAAGAGTCCCCAAACTGTACTGGTGAGGAATGTAAGCTTTTTTTTAATTACCAGGGTTTCCCTGGAGGTATCAGCTCTTATGATACTCTCGGGCTCTTAGGCCATTAGTTCCTCTACTTTACTCCTTTAAAGCTCTTCTGAGGATGAACTACTACCAGAAGATTTTATGGACAGACATGCATTCTGCCCAGGGAGACCTACTAAGAACCTACCTTGACATCTAGCTTGGCCAGGTGCTGTAAAACCCAGATGCGATGAGACCAGGCATTGTAGTTGCTTGGGTATCTCCCTGCTGCTTCACCACAGACCTCCATCTCTTCTTGTATTAGTCTCTGCGTCCTTTCTGCAGGAATTGTGCCCGAGTTTCCTTTGGTCACAAAGGAAGGCAAGGAGGTTTCCTGAATTAGCTGTTGTAGCACCCATCGCCTGTTAAAGTAGCGAGTAGAAAGACAAGGAGGAAAGAACAGAACCCAGATGAACACAGTTTTCCATGTTGTTAATTTCCCCTCACAGAAAATGCACAATTTGGATACCAGCAGATGGCATGGAGGTTAACGTGCTGGACTCCCACATGGCTGACCACCGTTCGAGTCCCAGACCTGGTGGCTTGCTTTCTCACTTTCCCTCTCTCTCTCTTTTTCTGCCTTTCTCTGGTAAATGTGCATGCCCTGCAGCAAATTAAAAAATTATAATAATGATTTAAAAAATTAAATAAAATAATTTTTTTAAATGCTAAATTTTCCCCATCTAAAATAAAATCCCTGTTTTGGGGGAGATGAGAAGGGTTTGCTGTTTGTTATTTCTGAAGATAATTAAATTTGGCAGCATAAATGGGGGTGGGGAAAGACAAACAGGAAAGAAAAAACTTAAAAATTCATCAAAAAGAGTGTGTCATCAATTCCAAAATGACAACCCAAAAATCCCATTTGGCCAGGAAAGGCAAAGGCAACTGCTTGGTGCGGCTGTGCGTGTGTGAGATGGTGGTGGTGGCGAGCGTGTTAATTAATGGCTGGTAAACATCAGGAGTCACACTTTACATCTTAAATTACATGTGCATGCCTCACCCTATGTGTTTGTTTGCAAATAAGCTTCATTTTAGCAACTTCCATTAAGCAAAATTTTTATATTATAGCATAAAATCTGGAAGGAAACAAAAGTACAAAATTACTTAAACCATCAAGGAAATTTTAAAATGTCTTTATACACAGATTTTCTTGTCTGTTTAATATTAAATAAATAATAAAAAGTACTAAAAGAGTGTTTCTAATTTTTTAAGAGTAATTTTTGCTATAGGACACATGCGCTCACCAGAGACAGAGACAGAAAATGAGAAACACCTCCAGTGGGGGGAGGATGGCCACACCACAATTCCTGCTCCTCCATTCTCCTCTCGGGACTTTGGACGTGCGCGCACCAGCAACTGGTCCGAGTTTTACACCACGATTACATGGGAGTCCAGCAATATAACCATTAAGCCATCTATGGGCTCCAAGAATTTTTCTAATTACTTAATATCTTTAGTATTCACAAATATTTTCCTCATAGAAAAACATTCTCTTAGTTAAAAATTTCTAACCCAAAGGTACAGGCAATTAAGAAAACTCATTTTCTCATTTTTAAATAATGGAAATTTTTATTTAAAAAATACTGCTTTATAAAAAATTAAACAAGCCAATGAAATGATGGATGCATATTTAATAGTTTCCTTCCCCTGCCACCACCTTGCCAAATCCCCATACACATAATCATATACCTGTATGAGGGCCACTGTCCCAATTTCTAGCCTTAAAAATGCCCAGGATTTAAGAAAAGTTAGAGTGGCTTAATAAACACACTTCTTCAGAACAACTTCTCTTTTAATCCCAACTAGCAAGCCCATGTGATGGATGCATATTTAATAGTTTCCTTCCCCTGCCACCACCTTGCCAAATCCCCATACACATAATCATATACCTGTATGAGGGCCACTGTCCCAATTTCTAGCCTTAAAAATGCCCAGGATTTAAGAAAAGTTAGAGTGGCTTAATAAACACACTTCTTCAGAACAACTTCTCTTTTAATCCCAACTAGCAAGCCCATACCACCCTAATTTGGTCAAATAAGAGTGGCTATTCCAGGAAAAACAAATGAACACATTTATTTATGTTTAACTGATAGGCGTGCATACATTTGCCAGAGAGAAAAAGAGAAAGAGAGAGAGAAAGTGAGCAAGACAAGCACTCACTGCCCCCCGCCCCCCCCCACCCCCCACAGGTGGGTCATGGCTGTGCCACAATCTTTTCCCTCCATTTCTCCCTCCCTTCAGGATTTCAGGTACACACACAATGCGCCTAGTGTCTTTTTCAAGCTCTCAGGGCCTGGGCTCAACCAGGTGGGATCCAACTTCCTTAACAATTACACTACAAAGCAGCCCCACACAACGAAATACATTTGAAAACCCAAGTTGCTCAATATAGTTGAGTATCTAAATGCAATCTCCACAACTGTTTTAGAACATTAATAAAAACAGCTAATATTCGGTAAGTGCATGAACTGTGGTAGAGTCTGTATGTACTACCTCATGTAAACTCAACCACTGACTCTTTGAAATTGATTATTATTCGCATTTTAAAAATGACAAAACAGAAAAGTATCAGTAATTTCCCATGAACAATCACAGGGCAAGTCACAGCCTTTAGATTTCAACATAGGTTACTTGACTTTAAAATTCATGCACTGGGACCTGCAGATGGCATAGTGGTTACATCACTAGACTCCCACAGTAGTCAACTGCGGTTTGAGTCCCAGACCTGGTGGCTTAAAACACACAGTGTGCATGTGCGCATGTGCCCAAAATCCCAAGGGGAGACTGCACTGTGGCCATCCCCCCAGGGGTGATTTCTCATTCTCTGTCTCTCTGTCACTCCAGCAAATGCACACGCCCTATAGCAAAAATCTCTCTAAAAAAAATAAAATTAATTCTCTGAACCAGTATGCAACCCTGCCTCACATACTGTGTATACTAAGTAAGAATACTATGATGTAAATTAACCACACCTGTGAATCCATGTTTCTGGACTCTTTGGAAACTTAGTTAAGGCTAATTTTCCCAGATGTAAGTCCTTAATTGGATTTAAAGTGCCAGACAGGATTAGCTCCTTCCTGTAAAAGAAAAAAAATTAAAAACATTAGCCTTTTATTCAAACATTCTCATGGCTTTTATTTTATTTTCTCATTTATTTTTTGGTTTATAAGCCAGAGGGTGCAAGAAAATGCCTCCCCTCCTTCTCTATCCTATTGAAATCTGGAATATGCAGGCACCTGTGCCTAGTGTCTTCCAAGTTTCAGGGCTGGAATTCGAACCAGTGTCAGCCATGCAAGATTGGTTCCCTTAACCGCCAGGTCATGGGGCTGACTCTGCAGGACATATATGCATGACTTTTTCATGTCATTATGAAGCAAATTTCCAAAAATTAAACACCAAAATCCAACGATGTTGGTAGATAAAACTCCCATAAATGTCACCACCAGTAATCAAGAATTTATTCTCATACTCTCAAAATAACAAAGAAAGAGAAAGAGAAGATTTAATCGACAGTGAAACTTCATTTAACTGGTATATTTGGGAGAGTGCAAACAGGTTTTCTGGTCTATTTTATTTCCAAAAGTTATACGATCTGACAGCAGTACATGTGGAACAGATCTAATACCAGTGAATTGTTCTAGCTTCCTACACAGGACTATGTATGGTCTAGTTTAATACAGAAAAAAACAAATCCACATACAACAAACACAGTATAACTGAGATAGAAGAGAAAAGAGAAAAAAATCACTCATTGAATCAGTACCCAAATGAAATGATTATTTTTATTCTAAAATTTTCCCTTTTACTATTACCTATACACATATATATTTTAATGCATAATTTTTTATCCTGCTCTCATTATTTTAAGAATTTTCCTATGGTTCTGTAAAATCATTATACCAATCATGTTAAATGAGTTTTTATTCAGTAGCTAGGTAATGACCTTTTTCTTCATGGTTAGACATTAAGATTACTTCCAACTTTTTGCTACTCTAAAAGAATTAGAGAAAAAATATAACTTCTTTCTTTTCTACCATTACTTAGGGTACATTTCCAAGAAAGGTATTATGAGGTGAAATACTTGCATGATCTTTGATATACTAGGCCATTACTTTTTGAAATACAAACCACAGAACTAATAGCAATTTTGTTGTTTTAAAAATGTTCAAGCCCAACTAAAGCTTCAATGCAATCATAAAGAATATAATGCAAGATCTATCTCTCAGATTAATATAATTTACTTTTAATTTCCAAGGTAACTTTTGATAAGCACTACTGTTTACAGTCCTAATTAAGTCTCAATGCATCTATTATTTTATAATAAATCAAATCATATGCCAATATGTATTAATCTTAAAATGTTCTTTGTGGTAGCAAGTTTTATCTAGTTATTTTATAGAAGTTTAAGCCCAACAAAACTAGAGCTCAGCTCTTAAAACTCACACTTAGATGGATTTAGTTCCTAAATACCACAATAGATTTTCTTTCAACAGTAATGTACTATTTTTAAATTGTTATTTGATAAAGACAATAACTTATTTTTAATGAAAATACTAGTGATAGTAAGTATGTGAATTTTATAATCATATTTATGTCAGTAACTTTATAAAATAATTTGAAGTAAACCACAAGGTTTATGGTTACTATAATGAATGAATTCACTAAATTTTCCTTTCAATATACAAGAAGACATATTTTTCATTAAAAAATATTTAATGCTTGAGTCTGGGACCCAGTAGCTTGAAACTCATGCTGAGCGTGTGTATGTGCGTGCCCAAAATTCTGAGAAGAAAACGGAGAATGAACTGTAGTGTGGCTATTCCCCTCTCCAGGAAGGAGAGGGTGATTTCTCAATTTCTGTCTCTGTTTCTCCAACGAGCACACCTACCCTATAGAATTAAAAATCTCTCTCTAAAAAAAACAAAAAATATATACATATAAATATATATTTTAAAGAAGTTTATTCACTTATATATCATATATATAATAAAAGTATATTCATTTATACAATATTATATGTGTAACAGAAATCTATTCGTTTATATTATTTTACATATTTTTTTAATGCAACAGCCAACTGCTTTTATAGAATTAGAGCTATTGTCTGAAATCAGTAACATTTTGTTCATAAAATAAGTCAGGATACTTATGAAGTGAAAGGAGGCAAAAGACTACTTTATGTATTTTAACTACTTTGTGGAGTAGTGCTTCTCAAAGTGCAGTTCGCGACTACAACATCAGCATCATCTGGAATTTACAAGAAATGTATATTCTCAGGTCTCACCCATACTCACTGAATCAGAAAGTGAGGTGGTAGAGCAATCTGTTTTTTTTTTTTTTGAGAGGTTTTTTTTTCACTATAGGGCGTGTGCGCTCGCCAGACAGACAGAAAGAGACAGAGAGACAGAAAGCGAGAAATCACTCCCCAGGGGGGATGGTCACGCCACAATCCCTTCTCCTCCGTTCTCCTCTCGGGATCTTGGGCACGCACGCACATGCGCCCGGTGTGAGTTTTAAGCCACCGGCTCTGGGACACGAACCACGGTCGACTACGTGGGAGTCATGGCCATTACGCTAACTGCTGGTTCCCGAGCAATCTGTTTTAATGAGCCTTTTAGGTGATGCACATTAAAGTTTCAAAACTGTCACTAAAGAATTTATTATATTAAGCTTTATCTCCATTTCAAATTTAATAAAGACCTCTCCTTATTTGTAACTGCCCACTTTTATTCCCATATATCTCCTCATATAAGGGGAAACAGTCAAAATTTCTTAAGGAGTCACCTTAAAACTGGGTCTGTACAAAGTTTCTTAAATTATGGTCGCTTTCAGGACCTGTGAAGTTTCTTAAATTATGGTTATTCTCTGGATGGGGCAGGCGTTAGGGTAATACTGCATAATACTGCAGCCCCTCTAAGGCTCAACGTTCAAGGCTGACCTGAACATGCTGAGCACAGACGCATGCACACACGATCCTGGCCAGCTGGAAGCTTGAGGAGGACCATAGTATGGCAAGATCTTATCAGGGAGCACCTGTCTCTCCCTTTCTCTCTCAAGAATTAAATAAAAACAAAACTTAAAAAAAAAATGATAAGATACTCTCATAATATTTTAACTTTGAACAACAAAGGAGTATTTTAGGAAGACAGCCTAAAGCAAACTCAATAAATTTATACACACAGACACACCACACATACACTTAAACAGATCAGTTGATAGAATCATTAAAAATATGTAAAGTTTTAATATAAATTAAGTAAACATCCCTGAGGACAAGAATGTTAACATTTGTAGGGCTGAATATCATTGTAAACAATTTTTTGAAGACTGTTTTGAAAGAAATACAGAGCTCAAGTTGTTTTGAGAAGAAATACCGGCATGCAGTGTATGCTATGTGCTCTACAGGCTGGGACTACATGGGAAGCCCAGGTTTGACTTCCTGGTCTTACCTCAAGGCCGGTGCAGTGCTGTATGCCTCTAATTCTCGTGCCTTAGGGAGACTGGGGAGGAGGATCATGAGGCTGGCCTGGGCACCACAGCAAAACCCAATCCAAATAAAAGCCAGGTGGTGCTAGTGTGCACTTGTAGTTATAGCTAAGAGGCTGAGCAGGAGGGTAATGATACAAGGAGACCCCATCTTAAAAATGATATATATATTTATATTATATGTGTGTATATATGTGTGTGTGTGTGTGTGTGTACGTGTATATATATATATATATGGGTCTGGCAGTTAGTAAAAATCAATTGCTCTAATGTATTGAAACAGGAGTCTGACTTGAGATAAAATTTCTAGTCATACATGGATTCAAAACGTGCTGGGGGACCAGCAGTTAGCGTAACAGCTATGTCGCTGGACTCCCACGTAGTTGACCGCAGTTCGCGTCCCAGACCCGGTGGCTTAAAACTTACGCCGGGCGCGTGTGCGTGCGTGCCCAAGATCCCGAGAGGAGAATGGAGGAGAAGGGATTGCGGCATGACCATCCCCCCTGGGGGGTGATTTCTCGCTTTCTGTCTCTATGTCTCTCTCTGTCTGTCTGGCAAGCGCACGCGCCCTGTAGTGAAAAACCTCTCCAAAAAAAAAAACAAAAAACAAAAATAACGTGCTGTATACAGCTCAAGCCACTTAGACATAATATGAAGGACTCTGGAAAACTGCTAGATTAACTTTAAAAAAGTGGATCTGATGATAACAGTCACTGATGTCAATAAGTCATGAGAGGGATTTTAATAAAATTGATTAAAGAAATGTAAACAGGAATATGACGAATTTAAATATTAGAATATTTTATATAATATTTCATTTTAAAGACATATAATAGACCAGCAGTTGGCGTAATGGCTATGCCACTGAACTCCCATGTAGCCAACCGCGGTTTGGTCTGGGCGTGTGTGCGTGCATGCCCAAGATCCCAAGAGGAGAATGGAGAAGGGACAGCAGCGTGGCCATCCCCCTTGAGGGCTGATTTCTCGCTTTCTGTCTCTGTCTTTCTAGCGAGCGCACGTGACCTGTAGTAAAAAAAACCTCTCCAAAAAAAAAAAAAAAGACATATAACTAATTTGAAATAAATATTACATGAAAGCATTTACTCATTTCATGTACACCCCTTAAAGCGTATATATTGATAATAGCCTAAAGATACCTTTTTAGATTTTTCTTATTCAGGAAATGGGGTACTGCCTTAAATTTGAGGTGATTTTATTTTCAGGCATAAGCCTGAATAAGCCTAGTTTCTATTTTCATGCTAAAACTCACAGCAGTAAATTGGTAATGGAGGAAAAAGAAACAAGGCAAGAATCATTAAATAAATGTGGGGAAGGTAAACCTGGAAGAGGCATCTGTATTTCCTGGAATTAGAGGGTCGGGAACAATGCCATGCTACATGTGCAGCCTTGTTTGGGGATGAAATATGTGAGGGCTCCTATTTCTTAAAGGTGAGAGAGGGTAGTAGAATGAAGAATTTAAAAAAAAAAAATCAAAAGCATACTTTAAAAGGAATGAGATCTTCCACTTAGAAGATTGTTCAAACAATAAATGTTACTCCTTTACATCTTTGTCACATATTTCACTTACTGA